ACGCCCTTACGACTCAGGATAATGTTATCCTACAATGATGAATGGGCAATGTTTTTAAAATTAAATAATAAAGAAAGAAAGAGAGGAAAGTACTTCAGGTGATACGTTAATTAGTAGAGTAGCAGAGAGGTCCTATCAATGGAGACACCGGTCGCGGCGAAAGTTTCATCTTCATCATTAAATTTACTCCGCATACATTCCAAGGCAAAAAGAACTTTAATACGGGGTGTATCAATCTTTATTGATCTAATATTTACAAGATTAAATCCGTCTAAAATTACATATTATCTAATAAACCTAATCCACGCGGCGTGGTGCCAAGAACGCTAGCTGCATTTCCTCGCTTAATCTTTGAGCCAGAAAAGAACCAGCTCTCTTGTCACCAGCCGCGGCGTTAAGCTTAGGATGTATTAATATTATACTTTTTTTTTAATATTGAAAAAAGCCCATCAACACTTCAGAAGCCCCGACCAAAGGATGCATGTTCAAAGTTTTCGAGCTTTTCTCAAGCTCAAGTTAAAAGCTCTCAAGTCCACAATCACTTAAGTGGTTAAGCTTATGATAAATCATATTAGAGAATTCACATATTATATCAGAGAAACAACTACCGTAACTATCCTGTTATCTATCTATCGTATTACGCGATTACCGCACACTATTAGTTTTAATATATTATATATTTAAGTTACTGAACCAATACGCGTTAGTTATCGCACATCCGTTGTACAGCTTTACGTCTAGGACCTTCTCCGCAACCTTGCTTTACCGAGACCGATGATTGAAAGGCAGCATCACAAGAAAATCATTAGATGCGGCCTTAAGCTAACACCTACTCCGAAAATATCGATATAGTTCCCAAACTCGCTAACAATAGGACCGTTCCTATCGACCTTTTGGATCAACTTCCGATCGACGCCACTTCGAGTTTGCAAGCGAGAATCGTGTTTAATAAAGCGGGTTCCGTACTTTCGAATATTTTAGTATATTGTCGAAGTACGCACAAGTAAGTAGCACCATGCCGCGTGGATTAGGTTTATTAGATAATATGTAATAATAGATAGATTTAATCTTGTAAATATTAGATAAAAAATTAATGTCGAAGGCAAAATTCAATATTGTTAATCGAAAATTTTGTTTAATCTATACTAAATAATGGATAAATAAAACTGCAGTGTCTGTTTGTAATATTAAAATAACCGCTTTCTACTAAATGCATATGGATGTATACACTGTACAATTTTTGTCTGTCTGTTTGTTCCGGCTAATCTCTGAAACAGCTGGACCGATTTGGACGGGACTTTCACTGGCAGATAGCTGATGTAATAAGCAGTGACTTAGGCTACCTTTATGGTCGATTATTTTTTTATTTTGAATTCCACGCGGACGCAATCGCGGGCACAGCTAGGTATATAATATTCTTGGTGTAAACGTACTGTTTTATTTCATCATGTAATTTAACAGTTTTTTTTTTTTTTTTGAATGAGACAATCTTTATTGATCTAATATTTGATCTATTTTTTTTTTCTAATTTAACAGTTTGATAACATTCATTTCACAATTCAAGTTGATAGTTCAGCAAATGGTAGAGCTGATCTTTTATACCCTTTTTTTATATTTATACACTTTTTTTAAAGCGTACCAAAAATATGGTAAATTAAGACGTAGCCATCATAATGTACCAAAGAGCTTGACTTTGTCAATTTATAGAGGTAGGTCGATGCGCGTGCATCACGATTGAACTACTAACAGATTTTCATTAATTCTTTTTTATCGCGTTTATTTTTAATTCCCTCGGTCCTTGTCTAAAAAAATATTGCGATATCTTCCTTTAATGTAAAGTTTTTTTTTAATAAAATTTTATATGCTCTACGATTTCAGTGATGTGTGTTCTTTTGCCAAGGATAAGTGGGGCAAGTGATGTCATTGTTAAATTATAAGCAACGCAAACGAAGCCACGGGTTTCAGGGAGTTTAATATAAAAGATTTGACATTACGTCACTGCCTACCATGCTGATGCATTCGGCGGCATGAAAATGGATTTGCCACTTTTATGTTGGATCCCTAAAACTCAATATGGCAACAACACTATTACGTCAATGATGCCTCTTGTTGCGAACAATGTAGACTCTGTTCAATTATATTAATAAAAGTAAATGAATGTAGGAGCCGAGTTATTAGAGGTAACCAATTGATGCGCACACAATAATTATTTATGAACAATTGTCTATTTGTTTTTTGTTATTTCAGTTGCGCTGACGGCGCGCGTTTAGATTAGGTTACTTGTATGTAATGATGCAATACATCAATTGCATTCTTATACAATTCTAGTGATGTGACATAAATATATCTTTTAAATATATGTATTTATATTGCGTTATACTTATAGACGAGGACGAACTACTTTTTTTGTGTGAAAAGATGTTAGTTACCATTTGAAAAACCCGTAGGTTTGCAGGTGCGTTGCCACCTTTTAATAAAGTGGGCCCCGGCTCTCTCATTCACCAGGCGAAAAGCAGAAGTACAACACTTCCACATCACGTATTCTGTGTGGTCATAGTTACCCGGACGGACCTGCCCATTCTTGCAACAGAAAAGCCTGTTGCGTGGCACGACCACAGTTAAATGCACAGAACAATTATAAATACTTACAAACTAGCGGACCCAACGGTTGTCTTGTACACGCGACTTAAATCCGACAACAACTTACAATATTAAGAAAAAAAAATAACAAAAAAATACAAAACTTGTTAATCTAACTAAACCATTCTCGAATCGACCTGAAGACACACAAAAACTTTCATTAAAATCGTCCACCCGTTTAATAAGAGTTCAGTGAGATAAACACGTACAGAAGAATTATATATGTAAAGATTAATTAGACGTTTACCTATTACTTCTCGCTTATAACCAGGGATCTGATGCATCTAATTCTCAAACCTTCCCGAGTTCATAACGACGCATTTAAAATAAGCACCACGAGTCATTACCTGCCGCGAAACTAAAGCGAATTGCGAACGAATAATTGCAATCTTCGTTGCCCTACTAGCTTTGTATCGTTATTACGGCGAATGGAGTTTTAATAAATCGTCGTTGTATTATTAGAAAAGGTGGGGAAAAAATTAATTCGGGTCACGTGGCTTAGGCTGGAGTGCCTGTGGCAACGCTGAAGTACGATTCAAGCCGAGCGGATCGCGCCGGCGCGTACGAGAACGGCTGGTTGTGAAGCGACCGTATCGAAACTTATACACACGCGAGATTTATTGAACGCTTCCACAACATATGGCGTTGCAGACACGTTGACCACGTTTTATAAAGGGCCCCGGCTAACTCACTCAGCACGCGAAACGCGAAAGTTACACTTCTACTTCACACTGGTCTTCTGCGAGGGTAGAACTACTGAAGAAGACTGCACATTCGTGCCACACAAAAACTGCTGAGGGTTTCGTATATGGCTTATTTGGTCAGGGGCGGGCAGAGACAATAGCGCGTCACTTCACTCGATCCTAAAACACGTTTATTACACCTCCATAAACTTTCTTGTTATTTTTTCAAGCTTTGTGCATATATCAACTACTTGGGTGATAAAAAGACGTCTCGATATACTTTCAAATGTATGTTAAGGCCCTTTGAAATAAAGAAGAGAGAAAGAAATGTTTATTTGGCGTACTATATTACAGGAAAAATATAAAAAAAGAAACAAGAATAACAACAACATCGTGAAAATGTATGCACCAAAAAAGTGCATGCATTAAAGTCCCACGACACTGGTTTTCGGCCTTGTGAGCATTTTATTTTTGTTGCATCATGCTGCATGCAGCATGCATATTGGCTGCATGCATCATGCATGCTCCATGCGGCCAACGAAAACAAATATAACTTTGACACGCGTTGCCGCTGCCCGTTCGGTGTGAATCGTCCTCTATCAAATGCAGTCATTAAGGATGCGCGATCGGACCCCATTTATTTCTCATTTGCACTATCCGAACATTCGGGCCCATTTTAATGCGCACGATTAGAGTTACAATCTATAGTTGAGTGGATGCTAAGAATATTAATGGAGTGCAAAAACGTAAAGAAGCTCACACGTTTTTAACTGCCATCAGACTCATATGAATAGCTAATATCTAGTTACTTTTTTATGGACAAGTCCATTTTCGGAGGTACTCAATTCGACTGTATTTTTTTAATGATTACCCAAGAACTTGTGACTGAGTGATTTTCATTAATATTTTACTAGCGAAAAACAAAAACGTCTTATCTCGATAAATGGCACCAGCTTTCAAATAAAAAAAAATCATCAAAATCGATCCACTGAGTTGAAAGTTCTGAGGTTCGGCAGGGCGAGCCGATTTGTGCAACAGCAGATGCAGCCCCCCGTGGATCGCAGTAAAATCTGCATAACCCAGGATCCAGGTTCGACTGTAACATAGCCACAGTCATAAAGAGTTCGGAGCAAAACTTTCCTGGGCTTTTGTCACGCTCAGTGTGGACCGGCTCTGCTCAAACAAGATTCCGAATCCCTAAAATTAAGCGAGTTTCAGTAAGTAATAAGCATATTGTTATTTAATTTTTAGTGCTAGTCTCTAAGCTGTGATAGCTCGTTGTCCGGGCGCACGCTTTTAATGCAGTACACTCGAGCAACCTAAATTCGATCCCCGGTGGCAACAATGAAATTGTTAATTTTAAGTGCTGATTTATCACGTGCTCAGCGGTGAAGGAAAAAATCGGGAGGAAACCTGCGTATTTACGAGATAACAAGAAAAGAGAAAAGTATTTAAAAGATACGAGTATGTGCAGTAAGTTAGTCTGTAGTGCGGCCACTATACCCTAAGATATATGTTTTTACGCCGTTAATATATATAATAGTAAACGCCAGGCCGTAATTCGGCACACCTATCTCAATATGCACTAGCAATAAAGGACGCATCTTCTCGTATTCCAAAGCGCCGTTAATATATCACACCGTCGCGTTATGTCAAATGGAATTAAACCACTTGTTACAGACGCCAGCGTCGGCCGCCATCTATTCCGACAAATAGCAGGCATTGACAGCCAAGATCGCTCACCACGCGGCATTGGGTTCGGCTGATTGACGTCAGAGGTCGCGGGTTCGTTCCCAGACGTTCGCCGGGTGGGTTGAAGGATTTCGGAGCGTTTAAGCTGACTTGCGCGGACTCCACTCGGAACTTGCTTGCTGCCATTTGTAATACTACTTAGCCGCTGTACATTCTTTTATTACATCTTAATTTCTTCATAAGAAACAAAATATTATTATATCGCTGTGTATGAGTCAGTACGGCGTTTAACTATTCCTTCATACTTCATTTCATGAAGTATGAAGGGCAGCATTGAAAATCAGCGCTGTTTGGGTTTTTACTTCCGGCACAGCATAATGCTGAGTGCTGATATAATTTAACGATAATTTACATTTTAATAACATACATTTCTCTTCCTTTAAGTTGATTTATTTTGTTTTGTTTTCTTGCTCTAGTGTGTAATCTTATTTTTTTAATTTCTTTTATTTTTTTGGTAAATTCTTTGTTGTGTGCGTTTTTGGTAAATAAATTTATTTTCTTTCATTCTTCTTTACATGCTTATATTTACGGTTTCAATTTTTATTCTATTATTAATTTAATTATTTTTTTCATTATTTCGAAAATATGCAGGTTTCCTCGCGATGTTTTCCTTCATCTAAATTAGCAAGTCATATCGATCAGTGACCGGTATTTTATTTTACTTTTATTTTGTTACGGTTTATTTTCTTAGTTCAAAAAGTTTAAAAATCCAAAAGTTAGGACAAGGCAATTGTGTGACAGAGGCGCTTACTTTTGATTCAATATTCTATGACCTAATACATTCTGTACAGAAGAGGCCTTTGCCCAGCAGTGGGACATTTATAGGCTGTTACTTTACTTTACTTTTACGCGAGTATTAAGTCTTTTTTGTTACAATTCACTTTGTTTTTAATTTAATAAGTTTCGTACCACATCCACTTTTTAGGTCCACCCACACCGCGGCTAGGTCGGATTTACGCACACCGCAACTATGCCACCTTCAAACAGAACACTGTAATCACGAGGATGACATAACGTAATAGGGGGCTATGACAAATTGTTATTTAATTTAATATTACATAACTTGCGAGTGCGTTCTGTCGACGGCGTTATGCGCGATGTACGCACGTTGAAAAATTAAAATGAGAAATTTACGGTTCATGTGACGAACCATCTATCACCATGAACGCTGCAATTTCGTGTTCTTGACGCAGGAAATTCGAGTATAAATTGAACGTTATAAAATTGAAAATAATAGTAAAATTCCATTTCATTCAAAAGAGTTTAGTGTTCGCTTAACATAATAATTAGAGTAATAACATTGTCAGGGTTTGCTGGAAGAAAACTCTTTTTAGGGTTAAGCTCGCCTTTGTACATTATTTGTTTTTGTAATTTTGTTTTCTCTTATACTCTATGTATAATAAAGAATAAAGAATAATTAATATTAACTTATATTTAAGAGCGCAATATCAATAACTTTTGGAACTAGTATAAACGATATCGAATCTTCTGTATCAGGGGTGGACAATCCATTTCTGATAAGGTCTACTTCGAACAAAGGACGTGTAATTTTCTTCCCGCTGTTTATCCAAGCTTTCTTAAATACTTTAATGGTTCCGTGAACATTCTCCTCACAAACTCGCCTTAAAAATATCTTTTAATAACCTTAAATATTAAATTTCTCCTGGATTTCCAAACTTATTGTATAGTGCTATAACTTGTTTAGCATGAGTAAATATTTATTCGAAGAAATCGTCAACAACGATCTACTCCGTCAGTCGATCGTGAATTATTTCATTAATTATTTATTTTTCACTATAGTATAGGCACATATAGGTATAGAAAAAATGTAATACTTAGAATTCATTAAGTCAAAGCTCTGCTTACACTCTTGCTGAACACCATCCCTTAACAATTGCAACGACACTGCGTCCTCGACCTGATGGTCTCGCAAAAAGCTTATCTTAGCTAGATTGGTTTGTTAGCCTGTTTAGGTAGAACACGCTTCGCGATGGATTCTCTCTCGACCTTACGCAGTCTTAACATACACTAAACGTGCCTTCAGGCATATTTGCCTTGATTGATAGAGCATTGCTTACCAGGCCTACTTCTGTCATCAACATCTTCAGACCGTCTCAGCCCACTGCTGAACATAGTCCTTCTTCCATCGTATCTTCTAGCCAATCTTGAGCTCTTTTTATATGAGAAGGTGGCAATCAAGTTGTTACCTGATGGGCACAGGTCCCCATTGCACATGAACGCAATGCCCCCTTTTGAGTTGCCACAACAGGTAAGGGGGCCTAGCCCTGCTACCTAATAGTTATTTCGGATCAAGATTCGTCTATTTGTGATCCTCTGCAACACAGGATAGGTCCTATGGTCTGTGTTCGAACGCATCAGTGTCGCTGTTGTTAATTCCCCCGGACATTGAGGCCTCACAAAGTATACGGACTGAAAAAGAAAACATTCTACAAAAGAGCATAAGTAGGACTCTAAATGCCATGGGCTTGCGGAAGTCTGATGTACCCGTATATTTATACTTTAAGTATTTATACTTTTCCGTCACGTCTTGTAACTGGGGTGACTGGGGGTTACACTTTTGTAATTCACCAACTTAGTATATTATGTCGCACGGGTCTTAATCTTCAAATAAACCGCTAACTAGGTGATCCAGGTCCCCCTATAAATAAAAAGTTAAAAACAATGACAAGCGCGAAGGCACACACAGGACCAGTTAAAGAACAAACCGAACAGCTATTTGCAAGCTGCGAAGCATCAGTTAAGTTAGTGTATGGACCGTTCAAAGTAACCGTTACCAGGGTCCATATTAATAAAACATCACAACTTCTAATCGCATCTAAACGATGATGCGATTAAACTTCATCACATTTCCATGTAAATTCGACGCAAGATGGGGTCGTGAAAGTGGTCGTTGTTCAATAAAAGAGAAATATTATGTCGAATATAAAACCGAATGACCTTACGGCCTAGATCAGTGGTCGGCAAACTTATTATCTAAAGAGCCAAATATTAACATTACAACAATTTAAAAAAAATTGGGAGCCAAATATGCTTGTTTAGTAAACTTTTATTACACTATATAAGTAGTACACTAAATAAAGCTTAATTTCATACTTAAAGTGAAAGTAGTAAAGTAACAGCCTGTACATGTCCCACAGCTGGGCAAAGGCCACCTCTGTACAGACGGTATCAGGGCATAGTACAACCACGCGGCCCCGCTGCGGATTGGCGGACTTCACATATCTCCGAAATATGCTGCGTGGTGGACTATATCCTGACACCCTCTGTAGAAAGTGTTGTGTGAACCTTTGCCCAGCAGTGGGACATTTATAGGCGGACATTTATATTTACTTTACTTTTATGAACTTTTAATTCAATTTTTATATGGTAATATAATTCGTTTTCGAAAAACTGACTAATCTGGACATGGATAAAATTAACAGAAAGAAATATTTTTGAATTTCATTTATTTTCTTTTGTTATAACTTTTCTTTTCATTTCATCGGATCCATATTTTTAACGATAAAATATTTACATAATATAAAAATAACTTATAGATTCGTTTCACTAGCAAATTTTAACAATCTTTCAATGGATTGTTTTAGAAAGTTTTCAGTGAAATTAAATGTATTGCCGTAAAATGATTGACACAAAAAATTTTTAGGTTAACAAGAAGTTTTTTTTTATTTGATTAGTTAGATTTAGTTTTAGTTTTTTTTTGATTGATTTTGGCGCCAATTTATTCGCGCGCCAAATTCTCCATTTTGAATATCGTCATAAATATATATAATCCAGTGCCAAAATAAATTGTATGAAATCTAAAAGAAAGTTTCAATTTCGGTAGAAATATGTCTTTGTACTATCAGCATAAATTTCATTGATATCTTTATATTGAAAGTAATCATTTCTAAAAAACATTGTAGTAATATATAAAATAATACGTATGAAACTCAATTATTTCTTATCTCGTCGTTTAATTTTAAAGCAAGTGAAGCTAAAGACGTAAAAAAATAGCTATTTATTTATTAGCTGTATTAAAAGCTATATTAAATAGCTTATTATTTTCTGACTATTATATAATAACTTCTGACTATAAGGTCATTAAATTTTGATTTTGGCCGTCTATTGGTGTTTCAGAAAGATGGTATGGATTTTTTTAATGATTACAATTAAATTGCATCTATTCGAAAATAATTATAAACAGGTAAATCTCAGCATCAGCATTAATACGAAATATAAAAACATGAACAGTATTGCGGGTAAAGTAAATAAATACAAAATAATAACAGTATTTTCGTTTCTTTCAAATGTAATGTTTTATTCTTACGTTTAAGATGTGAAGTCAATATAAATCATTTAACTGATTTATATATAACTATTGTCTACACAAACAAGACAACCTTAATAAAAATTAAGAAATCTCAATCAATACAACATGCACATAGATAAAACAAATGGCCGACATAACCTCAAACGTCAGATTTGTTAAAAATTATAAATAACGGAATTAGTCTGTGGGTTTGCGAACCCACGCCGAAAGCAATATACGTTATGAATGTATCAAATTGTCAGTTTATCTGTAGATAATGTTAATGTCTTATTTGTATGTGTCTATATTGTTCTAGTCTGAGTCACTAGCATGAAATATATCTTAACAATCGAACTTCTTATGTGTTGCGTTGTAAAATAATTCCTAAGAACTCAGCTTGCAAATAATTTATTTCATTATATAGGTGCTTTTATCCCGTAATGTTATAATAAAGTATAGTAACAGCCTACATATAACCCACTGCTGATCAAAGGCTGCCTCTGTATAAAGGGTATTAGGGCATATTCCACCACGCGGCCCCACTGCCGATTTACGAACTTCACATTTTTGTGTTGATATTTCGAAAATATACAGGTTTCCTCACGATAAGCACGTGATAAATCAGTACTTTAAAATTAACAATTTCACTGGCCGGCACCGGGAATCGAACTCGGGTTGCTCGAGTAAATTGAATTAAAACCGAGCGCCCGGACAATGAGCTGTCACGGCTCATTAAAAAACCGGATTTTAAATAAACAACATGTTCGTAACTGAAAGAAAGGCATCTTTATTCCAAATGTAAATGTAATGACTGTTTTTAACTGTGACAATCGACATCTATAGGATTAGCATTTTAATAAATTCACGCCCGGTTTCTGAAACACTGATCATCGTAGATGTTAACTAATCACCTGTCAAATGACTTTTCAAACGTTACATATCTAAAGAAGAATGGTAAACTGTCTGAATTGCTCAGAATGATCTTCTTAATTATCAGAATGATCAATTCAAAGAAACCATCCTTTTGGGAACTAAAATGAAATTTGAATAGCCGATTAGCTGATTAGTTAACTTCTACAATGATCAGTTTTTCAGAAACAGGGCGCAAGTGATGTAAAATACCATTTTAAAATTTAACGGGAGTTTTCCTTTTCCGCCGGGAGGATATGATGCTATAATGCAAAATCCTTTACTGATGAAATAGATTCTAATTCGAGTTTTCAAGATTTAATTTGTTAGCTATTTTTTATTCATTAATAACTATTGTGCTAATGCTATCTGTTCTGTTTGTGTATCTATCCTATGACGTTTGCTCGAGCACACGGGTAGTGAGGGGACAGGGAGTGACAGCTCGCAGACAGGTGCAAACTTCAACCGGTAGGCTTAATACGTAAAAAGTAAATGCAAAAGTGATAGTGAAAAAAAATAAATTGTTGCAAAATAATCGCAAATTCGTACTATGTATCAACCGGCTACTGGTGAGCAACAGAGCCAACGACTAATAAATTTTAAAATTTATTTTACACGACACGTAGGAGCACTACACTATCTACTGCCTGCTAATTCGACAATAACATAGACAATTTTAATTGTAAATAAAAAAATAGGAAGCTTTAATCCTATGACTGCAGTGGTTACCGCTCTTTCTGTATGGCCAACAAATAGTATGATTTCTAATTAAAATATTAACGATAACTTAATTATTAACTTAAATTATAATAAAAAAAAATTAATATGTCATTGTGACATGATGTTGCGCCACGATGTCTTCATAGATTTTCTTCGGCGTGGTCGTGGGTTCGATTCCCACACGGGACAACTAGTGTTATCCACAGATAATTATTTCGAATCTGGGTGTTTATCCACGTGAAATTTGTGTATATAAAAGGTCCTTACAATACAGGCTTATGTTATTCTACAGTTAGTTCTATATTCTCAGGGCAGAGGGCAATTAAAAAAAAAATGGCCTGTTTCACGGAGAGAGTAGTTTAAATTTACCGGTTGATCAAGACAATTGAACCACTACATAATTTTGGGTTACTCATTAAACGTAATTGACTCTTAAGCATTCAACTTGGACTTTTAAATAGCTAACAGAATATAGCCCGGTTGGCCCTTATTTAAGTATCTTTCGCAATTTAGTGAATCATATTGTATTTAAATCGTTTGTTGCGAAGACAATACAACATCCATCATTCCAAAGCTATTTTCGCCCACCATTAGGTGTCAGCGAATCAAATGAGCAAAGGTCGATCCTCATTCAATTTTATAAGACCTTAGCCGCGGAATGCTTGTAACTGCAAATAGTTTTGCCACCACCTTACCTGTGTCTGCTTAATGTCGGTAAAATGGCGCTCGACGGGACATTAGGTACTCGGATAGTGACATGTGCACAGATAAATGAAATGAAGTGCAACGTTATTTATTGTAGCCAACATTAAATCGAACTAAATTGTATATTATAAACCTAGTCCACAATGAGAGATTTCAGCGAGAAAAAAACCAGCCATCGTGTCACGAGCCGCGGCGATAAATCTTTAAACCTTTCAATGTTTCGATGTGCGGGGACCCCGCGGATTTAAAGTTCCGCCAGCAAGTGGCACTAATACGCAATCTGAACAAAGAGACTCAATGATTAATGCCCGGTTCCTATATTCACCGAACGGCCGTTAGTTACATAGCTTCGTAACTTTCATAACGACTTGTAGATTAAAGGAACGCTAGTAACTCACTTTCTGTAGGTAATGCAACAGCTCGTAAGGTAAACGCCTCGTTTTATTAATATAGAATTCTGGCGTACATGCCTTTTATTACTTTTTCTTTTATTTCTATGTTCCTATATTCAACTAACGGTCGTTAGTTGAATATAGGAACCGGGCATTAATCGTCATCGTCATGAAAAAGCCGGCAATTTGCGAGTCGGACACACCCACGAAGGGTTCCGTACCATTATCCATAAAACCGGCAAAACAATCATGTCTGTTGTACGTTAGCCCCACTTAAATATATTATAATTCTATTTTTAATATATATTTGTTGTTATAGCGGCAACAGAAATGCATCATCTGTGAAAATATTAACTGTCTAACTATCACTTTTCATGAGATACAGCCTGGTGACAGACGGACAGACAGACGGGGATTTAATAATAGGATCCCGTTTTACCCTTTGGGTACGGAACCCTAAAAACAACATAATTACAATTAGTTCCTTGACATTCAACATCCTTTCCTTCCCTCGGCCTGTTATCAACCAATGAATTGTTATTAAGAAAATAATGAAGTATCATTACGAAAGAATTTTTAGATTGCATATTATTACACTTAACACCTGAGACCGGCAATTATGTTTTACAATTGGGAAACCATTCCTTGCGAGTCAATTAAACGATGTGTTCATTACTGCTTTAAAGGCATCGATGGTGTTGACGGCCGAACCGATAACATCGCGTTCCGGTACACCGAATCCTAACAGTCAACCAATTACTTTGGTGACATAGATATATTGTGAAAAATGGCAAAATAAATCCACTAGATATGGTGACGACCTGTGCAGGTGGCTCAGGATCGTGTTTCGTGGCAGTCTGTGGGGGAGGCCTGTGTTCAGCAGTGGACTCAAATAGGCTGAAATGATGATGATTTGATTGAATAAATATACTTTGACTTTGACTTTTAACTTTGATGAATAAAATTGTTCCGCTGAGTTTCTTTCGCAGGTGCTTCTAAGATCAGTTGATTTTCTTTGCCGAACCGGTAGTGGTATTTTGACAATGTATGTGAGTGTGACTCCTATGTTGAATAAAGATATTTGAATTTGAACTGAAGTTATTGTCCAAAATCTACTACAACTGCCCCATCTTTGACCGGCTGATCTTAGCTATAAGTTTTTCAGTTCGTTACTTTCTGCATTAACGTGACTGAAAAACTTATAACTAAGATTAAAACGTAATAAATAGATCAATAAACAAAAACAAGTACATTTATAGTAACAAAAAATGTAACCGATTTCAACATGCTTTTTTAAATATTGCCCTTACTTAAGGATAACATTATGCTGTGTTGTAAGGACATTTTACGAGCATAAATTTCTCGCGGACAAACATCCAGATGCAACATGTAAAAAACTAATAAAGAAACCTTTTTCGTATATAAAAACATACACTATAGATACACTAAAAATATATTCTATTCATCAGAAAGTATGTTGCCAGTAGTGGGTAGTGGACGGTTTTACTAATGACTACACTAATCATTGGGTAATACATGTAAGTTACAAGTAGTAAATTATTTAAATAACTCGAATGGTGCGAGGTTTAGATTAGCAACAAAACTTGTATAATTTGACATTCGCCAGCAATCCATAGGTTTCGAGACTTGCCGCAAGTTGATGTGTTTTAAAATTTGCGTAAATATATAAGTAGGGTAGCCAGATCTCAAATCTTATAGCTGTGGAAAGCTCTTTCTTTCATATCACTTTGAAGTTCGCGGATTACACGAGTAACTGCTTAAAATTGTTCTGTGTTAGGGCCATGCAGCATCTTCTTTTGCAGAAGGACAGGCTCGTCCAGACCATGGTCTCAAAGAAGACGGTCTTCTCGCTTCGTATATTGAGTGAGGTAACCAAGGCCCACTCTTTTAAATTTTTACACCGTATCTGCAACGCCTCAGGTAATTTAGTTATTGATAGGCGCTAATCACAGAACATCGGGTGAACCGCCTACTCACTTGTCAACTTTAAACATAAGAAAAGATATATACAGTAAGTACATCTTGCTACCTACGCTTTGTGGCAGCGGCAAGCACGATCTCAGCTATTGAAATAGTCACAAATGAATAGATTGAAATATCAGAGTATTTTTAATTGCCGAAGATCGGATCTGCAGTTCGAGCCAGGGCTAGACCGTTATCCGACCGATGTTTTATCTTTCTTGTAGTTTTCTTATTTGAATTTACTTATTATTTTATAGTTCCGTAAACTATGCAAAAATGTCTTCCATTAGTGCACAACAAAAGGACAAAGTAAAGTTACAGTCTCAATTACGAGTATTTATAATATCATAGTGGCATATAGTAGAAAGTAGTTAGTTTCATTATGCCAATAATTTCTTATGCTTAGGCGAACACTGAATATAAAAAGTAAACGTAAAGTATTAGCCTATCATGTTCCACTGCTGGGCAAAGGTCTCCTCCGTACAGAGGGTATCAGGGCATAGACCACCACGCGGCCCCACTGCAGATTGGCGGAGTTCACATATCTTCGAAATATTTTTTTTGTTATTACTTTGAAAATATGCAGGTTTCCCCACCATGTTTTCCTTCACCGCTGAGCACGTGATAATTCAGCACTTAAAGTTAAAAACTGCATTGGTGCCTGCCTCGGGGATCGAACTCAGGTTGCTCAAGTATATTGAATTAAAGGCGAGCGCCCGCACACTGAGCTATCACGGCTCTAACACTGAACATATTTAAATGAACTATTTTACCACATTTTACCGTGTTTAACTGAAGCTCAATTCCCAACGTTATAATTTGCAGCGTTCACGCTCACGGGGCGGTAGTTAAGGGCCACCGTACCAACCCATCCACCTAGATAGGGACGGCACAACATGTGAAATATGTTTTAAGCTTTTTTGGCTATGTTTTAATGACCATCCGCCTGCCTGACATCCATGACGTTTCCCAAGGGGGGTTGACGTCGGGACAAACGGACACCCAGATCCGGAACAATTTTCTGTGTGCCACACAAATACTTGTCCCGTGTGCGAATCGAACCCACGCCCGCCACGCCGAAGCTAAGCTTGCCAACGGAGCGACCGAGTCAAATAATAATATAATTTTCCCCATATTGCAGGTAAAAAGGTTCAGGTGTCACGAAATTTTCCAACTATGCCACCGGTTTCCCTCTGATACGACCCCAGCGACCTCTCACCGAGCGGGGTCTCTAGACGAACGCGTTATTCGCATCTAAAGATGTGGACACACCGAGATAAGATTCGCTTTTCTTCATCACTACATACTATAAAACAAAGTCTCCCTTCTGTCTGTCTGTACCTATGTATGCTTAGATGTTTAAAACTACGCAACTGATCTTGATGGGGTTTTTTTTACTAGATAGAGTGATTCAAGAGAAAAGTTTATATGTATTATACGTTGCACCCATGCGAAGCCGGGGCGTGTCGCTAGTAAAACATAACTTCCACTATCGAACATAGTATAAGAGAGTCGTTCTGCTGTAGGCACATTTTACAGGCATAAATTGACCTAGCAAAAACGCTGTATCGATTGTTTGTAGGTCATAAAACCTGCTGTTGAGAAGCCAATACCTACAGCACTGAAGCCTGTATTTTTATGGTTAGATAAATTGACCACCGACCGTGGACATTCACAAGATCAAAGAAGTCGTAATGCATTGCTGGCCGTCGAGGCAGAAATAGGCCCTATTCCAGGGACGACGGAGTGACGACCTGTGCAACCGTGCGGGAAGTCGATGGATGCAGGTGGCTCAGGATCGTACTTCATGGCAGTCTATGGGGGAGGCCTATGTTCCGCAGTGGACTCAAACAGGCTGAAATGATGACGATGATGATGATTCCAGGGACGAATAAGTGCTCCGATACAACAGCACTCAAAATTCAAACGCACTAAATGTAAATTGAAATTCTGTGTTCTAGAAAGATGATGACTTATTGGCGCAGTTACTTAGGTATTTTCTACGGCGCCGACTGTCATGGGTTCAATCACACACGGCACCACTCTTTGTGTGACCCACAGATAACCATCTCTTTACCATTTCTAAAAATTAAAATGTATTATTTCTGATATGACTACCGGTTTTTTCTTTTCAAAAGATTAATTTCATGGAAATTTTCATAATAGCAATGACGATTAAATAGGTACTAAAAAAATTATTGAATGTTTGTACTCGATAATTCAAAGTTTTTTTTAACAATAATATGAATTTAATTTCAATGATTACAAATTTTACATGACTCAAAATTAAAAACCATAACAAAAAAAATGCCAAACAAGCAGTACTCTTCACAAAGGACATTTAAAACTGTGCATGATTTGGGTACGCATGTCACATTGAAATTATTGAAGAAAAAGTAATAATAAATATTTAATAGTATGATAAACCTTAGAAAAACATTTAAAAATTATTTGAAATAATGAATGATTATTCAGCGTGTCTTTACAATCGCGACAATAAATGAACACAGATATAGAGGATAACTTTTTAAAATTGTATTAAAATTTACATTCTTTAAACATCAATATTTACAGTTATTAAATTTTCCAAAACAAACAATTTTAGAACACCCTTACATATAAAACTGTAACGTAAAGTATCATTTGTAAAGGTCACAAAGCATATGAATGGGTTGAATGAATTTAAAAGAGACAAAACATACTGTTAGAAGGAGAGGCTTGTAATGCGACGCTGTGGCAACGAATGAAAAAGTCTCTAAATGTATGAATCGGTCAGTTGTAGTTTTATAGGATGTTACAAACTTTGTTTCTTTTTTGCTTAATTAGGTTGTTTGAAAAATATATTTTTTTAATTATGGATTTTTTTAACGTTAATATTTTTTTATGATTTTTGGCAAGAAGCATTAGACGTGTGTTCATTTATTTACGATTATTACGTTGTAACGACGCGCTGTATATCAAAGTTAAAGAAGTGAAGTAACACAAGTGTGAAGAAGTGCAATTAGTAAGATATATAATAATGCTTAGGGGAAATTTCCAAAGTATGGCCATTTCCAGAAGTACCACGGGCTCACAGAAGACCGGCGTGAATTGGAAGTATAATAATTTTCGTGCCAAATGCGAATTTGAGTTTCGTCCGCTGAGTGAGGTAGCTGTTAATACAGAAATAGTGTTTTGAAAATTGGGCAGTAAACGCATAAAGTGAGCCCTATTTCTCGTCCTGAATATTTATAGTCCTGAATATTTTAATAAAAGTATGTTATTTTTTTCATTGCTAAATGACTACTTAGCAGCGATTCACTTGCTGCGTGGATCAGAATAAAATTAATTTGCAATTAATTAATATGTCCGAAAGCTATCCGGGCTAAAAGTGACATCATAACACCAACTTCTTCAATGCAGACTGTGACCATGAACGCTGCACTTAATTGAACAATCGGAAGCTTCATTTTAAAAACGAATCGCGGCAAAATCCCTTAACCAGTTTTGTTTAAAATATTAATTATTTAATATTATTTTCCTATAATAAAAGAAAAAGACATTGCGCTACAGACATGATATCATAAAAAAAAACGAAAAGGGCAGTGACAAAAACGCGATAGCTTTGGTTTAAAAAAAACGCAAACGTCAAATTCGTTTTTTCGCGCCATTTTTCCCGACGACCTTTCACCTCAAAACGATGAAACTGTATCACAGTACAGCCGATAGAGACCGAAGTACCCGGAAACATCCCCACTGTACATCCTCAACCTTACACAATACCTCTTAGAAATACGATCAACTATAAAGCTGCATGATGTGCATTTCGCGTTCAGTTAGCATTTACTCTATCGAGCGAACACATGTGTGGACTGTGTGCTGTGTACAAGTAATTTGTGTTGTGTTGTGTAAAAGCAGGGAGTTTAATACGAGACGTGAGATATTTTTATATACTTTTCCCGCGCTTTTTCTGTTTTATTTCTCTAAGCCACCTTGACCGACGTTTGCGAAACGGCCAGCAATTCGCAATAAATTGTCGATGCGCTTGCATATTGTTTAGCACGGTGCATTTGACTGATAGGTTTTGTTTCTATGTGTTTTTGGGTTACAGTCGAACCTTACACATACTGGATTTATTGCTCTTAAAAATTTATACAAATTATCTGTTGTCAAATAATAATTGCTATGAGCATGTAATTAATTAAAGAAAACGTAAAATTTTATTGACTACTGACTTTGTAATTACTAATTTGTTTAATACACTTTTTTTTAAATCTTTTAAATTTTTTGAAGGACATAAAATGTATTTAATACGAACAATGGAATAATAATGTACTTTTATTATTCATACAAAAAATAGTCAAATAAAACCCAGACAAATAAAGATAAGAAATACTAAAATTTTGGTTAAGTAAAGTAGGCCGTAAGCATATACTTTGCGATATAAAGAGATGAATATATTTTTTTTTTATCTGTAACCATTCATATAAAAAAACACATATTTTTATTTCTACATAATTTAGATAATATTAATTTAAATTAAATTAGTATTATCTAAATTATTCTCTCTTCTCTTCTCTTCTAACGTCTCTAATATCCTAAAACAGAAAATCCCTTTTCGCTTGCCAACTTATAGTATAAAAAGTTAAATGTGATAAATTGTCTCGTGTTCAGACAACGCGCGTCTCTACCTGAAAGTGTAACAAAAAAGTGACTAAAGACAAAAATTTATAACATCATGTATGAAAAACTGTAACTGCAGCGGTAGATGGACAGTAGGCGCAGTGTGTGTGGAGGATTTCTTTATCACACATACTGAAAACAGCCCCAATACCGAATTTTCACATAAAAAAGATGGGCGCAAATGGAACCATTGATAGACTATATACGTCCCAATATTCGGCAAAGGCCTCCTCTGTACAGAGGATATAAGAGTCCACCACACGACACCATTGCGGATTGGTGTACCACATTTTTTTTAATGTGAAAAATTGTCAAACGAGCAGACGGTTCACCTGATGTTAAGTAAATACCGCCACCCATGGACGTCTGCTACACCCGAGGGTTCCAGATGCGTTGACAACCTTTTGAAAATTGGGCTCCGGCTACCTCACTCGCCAGACGAAACGCGAAAGTATTTGTCATCCTTCCACTTTACGCTGGTCTTCTGTGAGGTCGTGGTACTTACCCGGGCGGGTCTGCCCATTCGTGCAACAGCCGAGGCTGCAGCGTGGCCCTACCACCGTAACCCTAACATATCTTCGACATATATTTTTTTTTATTATTTAGAAAATATGCAGTTTTCCTCACGACGTTTTCCTCCACCGCCGAGCATTTGATAAGTCAGCAATTAAAATTAACAATTTCATTGATGCCGGCACCGGAGATCGAACTCAGGTTGGCCGAGTATATTGAATTAAAGGCGACCGCCCGTACAGAGATATCACTGCTTCAATATCTATATATTGTTTATTAACAGGCCTTAGAATGTGATCTAATACCGTAATTGTCCATGCAAACCATCTGGATTCGAATCCTCTCCCGAACGTTCTCTGGCTGTGATATCGTCGCTGTGTTGTAAGCGTAACCTATAAATCACCCGCCAATAAACTCAGCACTGAACCGATGGAATTCACGATCTTGGCATATCAACGGAGCAAACCTTCGCGCTTAAGCGAAGGACATCTTAACCAAAAGGACTTCTTGCTCTTCGATTAATTCGATGAGTCCTCTAGGCTATCTAATAGTAAATAGTTAGACTTGAAGTTTAGTAGTAAATAGTTAGAGTTTAGACTTGAAAAAAATTATTGGGTGTATTTTAATTACCCCAATAACATGGGGGTGGTAATAACGGGAAATTTAATGACAAATAAAGGATTACATAATGTTTATTTACAATAATTTATTTCGGAAAAAGGATTGAAATTAGTATTAAAATAACCAAAAGGAATTAATATTTAACTATGTTCATCTATTGAATAATTTGATTTTTTTTATCATAAAGCCATCATTAATTTTCGAATACATTTGGGATTATCCCTGAAATACGCTTTATGGAATAATGTTTTAAGTTTCTGTCTCCATTTAAAAGGGTATTACTTTTACTTGTTTCAATAATGTCGATCTCCGGTGCCGGCATCAATGAAATTGTTAATTTTAATTGCTGACTTATCAAATGCTCGGCGGTGGAGGAAAACTGCATATTTTCTAAATAATAAAAAAAATATATGTCGAAGATATGTTAGGGTTACGGTGGTAGGGCCACGCTGCAGCCTCGGTGCAGTGAACTGTTGTGTGCTATCACAGTATATTTGACGTTATATTATTCTCTTTCTTTTATATCACAGTATATTTGACGTTATCTTAGTTCTACTGTGGATGTCTTCGTTACGAACTCTATCACGCAGAGAAATACCGAGCATAGCCCGATCCATAGCTCGCTGAGCGACTTTGAGCTTCCTCATACGGCCAGCAGTGAAGGACCACGTCTCGGAGGATTAGCAAGCTGAAGTGGCGATGGGCCGGCCATATAGCTCGTAGAACCGATAACCGTTAGGGAAGAAAGGTTCTCGAGTGGCGGCTTCGTGCTGGCCGTCGCAGTGTGGGACGACCCCCCACTAGATGGAGTGACGACCTGTGCAAATGTGCGGGAAGTCGATGGATGCAGGTGGCTCAGGATCGTACTTCGTGGCAGTCTATGGGGGAGGCCTATGTTCAGCAGTGGATTCAAACAGGCTGAAATGATGATGATGATGATGATATTTGACGTTATATTATTCTCTTTCTTTTCTGTCCATTCGTGCAACAGTGAACTGGGCAGCTTGGCCACGAGTTCCCTGAAATCCGAAACAATATTTCTTTTGTTTATGATCCCAGTTTTAGAATTCCAAATAACATCTACAATATCTAAAGTATGTGTATCAAAGCTGATAGAAAACTCTTTGATACGAGACAATAATTCTTTAATAATAAGCTCTTTAGTAAGATCCGTAATACCTTAAATTTATGCGTCAACAATGCTAGAGGAAAACATTTAGAACGTCTAGCTTAAACTTAAAAAACTTATAAATCAATAAATTATTTTTATTGACATTAAAAATTTGCAAGGTTTATTTGCGGTTCTCATGGAATCAAAATACGAAAAAATACATCCGTAACAGCGGCAGACTAATAAACATGACATTCAAGGAATTTTTAGCTAGATATAATAAAAATCTATTATTTTATCGAAACAATAATGTAAAAATTTAACAAGCGTTGTGAATGCGAACTTTACTCGATGTGTGCGGTTGTGACATTACAATGGAACAAGATTTAACACCAAGGTTGTTTATAATCTGTGCGAATTACTGGCAGTTTTGGACGCTGTTTACTTTTAAGACGCAAGACTGATATATTTGATTTATTCTTAGACAATGGCTGATTTATTTCTATAGAAAAAAAATAGACATTATTTTTATTAATTAACCGATTTGACGATTATGAAGTAATAACTGTGCGGGATGGCGTCAAACAGGTGGTTAATCTAATGTTATGTGATCCGCCCATCATTGATGGGACATCAAATTGTAAAAGCGTTGCCAAGAGAGGGCCTCAATTACCTCACTCACCAGACGAAAAGAAAAAACAGAATACTTTCACTTCACACCAGTCTGCAAGGTGGTGGTACTTCTAATCCTACAAATGTAATCCAAGATGCAACAGTGAGGCAAGAAAGGCAGACTCGCCTTCTGTGGTACCACACCGCAATAATCCGCTCTGGTCGAATGCGGTACATCATCACCTTCATCGTTCTTTTCATCATCATCGTTTTATATGTGAGAAAGTGGCTAGAGAGCTGGTGGTTCACCGAATGTTCAGTGATAATTGCCGCCCATGGACGGTTGTAATACCCAAACGCAAATGCTTTTCCACCTTTTAATAGTCTGTGCCGGCTACCTCACTCACCAGACGAGACGTAGAAGTATAACACTTCCACATCACACCGGTCTTCTGTGAGCTCGTGGTACTTCCCCGGACGAGCCTGCCCATTCGTGCAACAGTGAACCGTCACGTGGTCCTATCACAATTAAGTATATTTGACGTTATAATTATTCTAACAAATGATTCGAAAATTTCTCGTCAAATCTCGACAGACTAACGCTCATTTACGCCCAGTTTCTGAAACACTGATCATCGTAGAAATTAACTAATCAGCTGTCAAATGTCATTTGAGTTGCCAGAAGGATGGTTAAACTATTTGAATTGATCAGAATGATCATTCTTAATAATCAGAATTTTAAGAAACCGGGCGTTAGCATTTTGGATTTAACTGACTACCAGTTAGTTATAACTTTTGCGTATATTTTTTTAATAAATTAAACCGAACCGGTCTTTCTTTTCAGGTGGGAATTATGGAGAGTTTTACAAGGAAGGTAAGTTATTTTGAATGTATAACTTTTAATGCTCTCCTTACTTATTACCTTTTCCTAAATCTTCGTACGAACCACTTCACTGACATTTTATTGAGAAAATCCAATACAATCCGTTTTGTATGTTTTATCACTGTATTTTAATATTAGCCGTCAATACGCTTGAACACGATTTTTCGTAAATCAAAACTTAAAAATATCATTAAGAAACGACGAAACTTTATGATTCATTTCCTTTTGCTACCTAAAATTGCCAAAAAGAATAATGTAAAATACAACGACCAAGTAATAATTTCTTATTTTAAGTTCTTACTGAACGTCAAAAAATTACCACCGGCACCAAAATTGTTTGTGGATATCACTTATAATATACTAGACCCGTGCGAAATTATCACCTGTTACGGTGATCAGCCACCGAACTGTACTAAGATAATGTTTGTGAGTATTTTTCCCTATATTTCATTTAAAAAAAATTGCCAATAGATGGCATTATCGCGCATTCCTTGGTTTTTAAACACGCAGTAACGCAGTCTTTAGTTTTTGCTTCATTATTTTATAAACGAAAGTCTTTTTATTTAAACCTTACCTTTATTCTACTTGCTTGAAGTTCCGTTTAATATGATTATCATTACATTTGATGGAGAGTTTTGGAAGTTATGGTATACATGAATAAAAACAACAAACGCCCTCAGACCTCTTATTGTCGCCCTTGCTTATAGCAAGAACAACCCTGAATAATCATTACAGATAAAATATTTTGCTATTACGCTGATATTTTTAACGGTGATAATCTCTGTTCTGAATCTCCCCGAACAATAAATCAAATAAATCACTGTACATTGGCGTACCTATTCTATAGTTTCTACACACACAGAATGAATACGACTAAAATCCTGTGCATTAGAGAATTTTACGTCGACACAAGGAACTAAGAACTCACGGACCATAAACCTGTCTGAGTTAAGCTTATTGTGTATACAGTTAATACTGTAAAACTCGTAAAAAAAAATTGATCTACGATCGTATTGAATGCATGTTGCCCTAATGCTTTTGTTCGACAATTAACGCTCCTATGGTATTTAGATTCGCGCCGTATTTCTCGTATAGTCTGTAGAGCAGATTGAAACCCGACTTATATTGTCACACTCGGTTAAATGTAACTATTGTATCAGTTGGAAGTTTGTTAAATAAAACTGATTTACGGATTTGATCGCTTCGAGGCAGCCCCAGCCATGAAGTATTTCTGTTGCCGCTATAACAAAAAACCGATTAAAAATATATTTAAGTGGGTTCCCTGACATACAACAGACGTGACTGTTTTGCCGTTTTTACAGGTAATGGTAACCCTTCATGCGCGGGTCCGCACTTGGAAAGTTTTTTTAGAGTTGGGAATACGTATAAAGTAACAGCGTATACAAGACCCACTGCTGGGCAAAGGCCTCCTCCGCACAGAGGGCATAGACCAACACGCGGCCCCACTGCGGATTCGCGGAGTTCACATATCTTCGAAATATATATTTCTTTCTAGTTATTATTTCTAAAATATGCAGGTTTTCTCACGATGTTTTCCTTAACCGCTGAGCATTAATAATATAATTATTAATAATAATTCAGCACTAAAAATTTTGTCGGTGCTGGCACCGGGATTCGAACTCAGGTTACTCGAGTATATTGAATTTATAGCGAGCGCCCAGACCGTCACGGCTCGACTACATCCTACTTATCTAATGTTCAAATGCCAAATAGATTTTATTAGCACAAATGTTAGTTTTGTCTGTCAATTACCAATTTGACAGTGAGTCAAAGATTAGCAAAAGTAGCGATGTAACCGCTATAAAGTATAAGAAAATATATTTACCCGTGCGTTCATTTTCGCAATAAAATAAATAGTTGTTACACTATAAAACGCCATTAATTATTGCAATTTAACGCGTTCTTCCATCCTTAATTTCATTCAATAAAATACAGCGTCTTTACGGTGTGAAGTAGGATCTAACACGGGATCCGCGTTTAATAGCCTCACTTGTTTTTATTACACTTTAGAAGTGACATTAAGGTAAAGGTAATATAATTTTCAACTGGCAACATTCCGTTGTATAAGGTCTTCGTCGATGGCAACACCTTTTGATTGCACTGGCCATTTTATTCGCTCGTAACTGTGGGCGACGATGAATTAGAAATGACGAACGTAGCATTGTCTTCGCGGCAAGCTTTTGATTTTGATTTTTACCCAACAGTATAATTCACGACGTTGCGACATATTCGTACGCAATTTTTTGGCGAATTGAGAGCACAGTTTGTTTAAAAAAATAAATGCAAATGCACTGCGAAAAGTTATTTCTGTATATAAATACATTTAATAGACACTAAACACCGAGACACTAGAAAAACATTATGGTCATTACATAATATTTCTTTCAGTAGCTAAGATCGAACCCACACCCTCTGGTGCAGGAGGAAGTTACACTACCCACTACGCCATTCGGGTCAAAGTAATTAAACAAAAAAAAGTAAAGTAAACTCTCATCTGCAGAGACAACATGCGCTATGTCATATAAACATGATGATCATCATGATTTCATCATCATAAAAAAATATTAAAAAACAGAATGAAATAAATAGTCAATAAAATAAATTATAAGGAACCCTTCTTGCGCCTATCCAACTCACACTCGGTCGGTTTTTTAAAATATTTTTTAATAAATTAGTTCAATTAATGACCTGCTAACTTATGAGGTCTCACTTGTCACAATCGGACTCGCGTGTTTTTGTTGAAATCCCATTAATAAAATAAAGAATATAAATGTACATAGTTATCCCTAATAGTAAGTAAAAAGTAAGCTGTAATTAAGTACATTGAATCAACATTGGAGAAAAGCTCATCACAAACGAAACCTTAATGTATATTAATTTAAACTATTGTTACGCATACTACGATACTTTTTCTAAAATAATTTCAAAGGAACCGCACACGTAACTCTGACATATATTTCACGGTAAGCTATACACATACAATTATATATACATAATAGGATGGTGACCGTATGTTATAGTATAACATATCGCGCAGTATATTTTAGCTACGTGTGTACGGGGCTTTAAATAATGAGATGCCAGCGGCTGTCGTGATAACGTATCGACAATTTGCCCATTGGATGTGACGGCACATAGAGTGCATTTATTTGAATGTCATCACACGTTAGCAGTTGCACGACACTTAAGGTATAGTGATGTGCGACGCAAATACAATTATGTTATCGATAATAAACTGGTAGGGTAGTTAGTTTATTATTACGGTTACCCTTCCTTATTTAAATAGTTTCACTATCTATTTAATTTTAAACTTTCATTTGTATATAGACATTTATACGAAGTTACCTAGGAATTCTAAGTAAAAACTAAAAGTAAAAAAGCAATAAAATAATGATAATATTAATTTAATTCAAATTAATTATACATATTAATTATATGATTAAAGAAATATTTGCTTACTTTACTTAATTAGAAATATTTTATTACACGCAGTATTCTTATGTTTCTTATAATACAACATTGTTTGTTTAACATAATAGCTTTCCTGATACAAATGTTATATTTAAATCATACAATAATAGACCATTATAAAATCCTAAAATTTTGTCTGTATATTTATGTAGTTGTTATTTTAAAAATTTTATGAACAAAATAAACCAGTATAATAACAATTACAGTAAAATAGAAAACTCAGTTTACATCATGAATTATACATAAATTTGTGGCTTAGTGTTTAAGTATGCATGGCGACATCTACATAGTTGATGAAACGGTGGCGCAGTTGCTAAGCTATTGGCTACAGCAGCTTGGGTTCGATTCCGACACGGGAAAGTTATTTGTGGGCCCCACGGATAATTATTCCAGGTCTGGGTGTTTGTTCCCGAGGAGGGCCCGCGTCAGGCAAAACCACTTGCAACGTAAGCACATATTCCCCAAATAGAGGGGTAATAGAGGGGGGCCAAGGAGTACATAGTACTAAAGATGTATAAATCTAACAATCAGGCGGTATTTTTAAACACAAAAATATCGATATGATGGTCACATCCCTAGAGCGATTGCTATTAGCAATAATACTTGTATTGCGTGGGATAGAAGTAAGGTTAAGAGATATACGGAGAATAAGAGTAGAGCAGCTTTTGCATGAATTGACCAGAAACAGTTGACCGACGTAAATAAGACTGTATATCATATGTTTCATTTGGTGAGTGACTGTAAGTCCGTTCTCTTCAAGATAGATCGAAGGAAAATGCATCCCCAAGGGTGTAGCGAATGTCTCAGCTCGACTGCTTTTTTTTACCATCTCGTCAAAAATCAGCAGAAGCATACACGAGCGGTTTCCAAGCTATTGACTAGTAACAGCACGCATAAATCAAAATCTTCTAAAGCATGAAATCGTGAACGAAGTGATTTATCAGTTGACATAGTGTTAAAGCAAATCTTAGTTTTAATAACGTTTAACGACGTTAAACGTTAACTAATGGAAGTACGAAATAGTTCGTGCCTACCTAATTTACACTTACACTCGGAAAGTCTATTTGTGGAGCACTCGAATGTTTTATATTGTGGAAATTGTATCTATAACACAACGCACAATAGAAACTGTCCATTGAATATAAAATAAACACTAATCAGTTCATGTTAATAAAACATCGCTACACATTCTTACTTAGTTTCTGTACAACTGCGTTTTAACTGTGGTGGGGCCACGCAACAGTCTTCTGTGTTGCAGGAATGGGCAAGTCCGTCCGAGTAAGTACCACGGCCTTACAGAAGGCAACTTCTTTCACTTCACGTCCGCATACAGACCTGACCTTGTCTAATTAAAATAAGCCTCAGTTGAACCATTTTTTACAACCCTCCTTCCTGATACTTAACAATGTAAATGGGGTCGAATGCCTTAAACAGTTGTCTATTAAAATCTACTGGCGCGATGTCGTAAAAGGTTTTATGATAAAAAAGTGGTCTTCTAC